CGTGGAACCCTCGCTAACTAGGGAAGGAGAGACATCCCTGGACCAAGTCCTTGAGGAATAATGAGACTTGGCATGGTAAGAAGGTTTATCCCTCTGCGCAATGCCACGAGATATGGCAGTTGAGATCAACCTCTTGATACTCTCTGGGAGGCGTTCTGGATCCTCCATGTCCTGATAGGGATCTGGATCACATTGATGAGACCCAGGGCGGACACCTCTAGAGGAACCCTCCAAGGGGTCTTCAGGTTCATGCACCTGAGGAAGGGGGGACCCTGGCAGGGAGTAAGAGGACCCCTCCCACCTAGAACTGATGTAGGATCTGGAGGGGGAAGCTGATGAGGAGGAAGGACTGAAGCGACCCCGAGGTGAGTGTCGTGGATCGGGCCCTACTGGGGACCTAGAACTAGACCTGGATTGGGCCTGTTTCTCTGCCCTAGCAATTGTCTTCTCCAAGGCCTTTTGCCTTCTAAGCTCATCCTTTTCAGCAGCTCTGGATGGTCTTGTGCTAGCCGGTGGTTTAGGTGCAGTAGCCCGGACCTGGGTGGGTCTGGTACAGTAGACCGGTACCTAGGTTGGTCTGGGAGGCTCTCCATGCCCACGGGGGTTAGGGTGGCCTCAGCTGGCAGAGTGTCAGCCCTGGCCGCAATTTTGTGGCACTCATGTGTCCTGAAGAGCTGCTCCATGGTCAACAGTCTCCAGCGGGTTCTTTAAAACAGTCTGGTACAATAGACCGGGACGTTAAACTCATCTTCTGCAAGCTGACTGAAGTGACAGGCTTGCTGAGGCGTTTAGGAGAGGCGTGGTAGACCGGGACCTTTTGCGCCAAAAAGCCTCTGAATTGAGCCACCCATGCAGTGGGCTCTTCCGCAGCTGTGAAATATGCCCCCGGCACCCCCACAATGGCCCAGGGGATCAGCACAGGGAGCCTGGCCCACAGAGGGAAAGGGGAGCTGCCCTACGGGCCTTCCCCACCGTTTTAGGACAGCAAGGACTGTCCTATCTGCGCACAGCCGAATTTACTCAATTTAAGTAATTTAGACAATTTAGAATAGCCAATAACACGAATTAAAGCCAGGAATTGTAGAAATATCACTAGTAAAAATGTTTCCTACCTAGAGAGCCAATCAAGTCCTAGGACCAGAAAGACTGAGAGGAAAGTGGGAGCCAATGGGATAGCTGAAGGCTAAGTAGTTTTTTCTCAGTCTAACGGACCAATCAGGCTATGATAAAACCCTGCCGTGACCCCTTCCTCTACATCACCGGATGTAGAGGAAAATGGTGATTTTGCTCATTTCTGCCCTTCCCAGCCCCCAGCAGCTCTCTGAAAGCCTCCATAAGGGTATGCACAGCCATTTTTGTGAAGGGAGCAGGGTAGGAGGCAAAAAATGCTGTATTCAGTGTAAAAGACGCATCCAGATTTTCAGCCTTTTTTGAGGAAAAAAGGTGCATACTCTGAAAAATATGGTACATCAAAGGTGTGTCTAGTTTGTACAAGTGTGTTGTCCCATGCACTAATCAAAGGAAAATTTCCACTTTGATCCACATATTCAATGTCTTCTCAATAGCATTGTTAGTTGTTTATCCCTAGTAGCTGTTCAGATTCCGGGTTAAGTCCAAGCAAATGAGTCATTTTCACTGCAAAACATTCTGCTAGTGATCCCTGTAGACTCCTGGATTTTTCCTATCCGTAGTTTTCTAATAGGATCAAGGTTACTATAAAAGGCCACAAGACAGACATATTAATCCTTTTATCAGTTTATTTATTCAGCAATTGGTTGTGGGTATGGGTGAATGAAATAGAGGCTATACATGTATATTATGTTGGAATCATAAAAGCAAGATTTTCAATGAGAAAATTAGTAATCTGAAATGTACAATGGATTTAAAAGATTTATTTTTGTTTGTAGGATTTCACTGTCTAAAGCGCATGCTAAGCTGAGCCTAAGGACAAAAGTACTCGAACAAGATGTTTTAATTGCAGTGTTATTATTTGAATCATCTCTTACTTTAAAATATGGTAAAAAAAAATTAAGCCAAGCAATTGCTCATAAGTCCAAGTAAGATGACATAACATCCTTAACAGGGGACTTCACACATGTAGTTGAATACATAAGGCCAAAGATGCCAAATAGCATGCAATACTTCTCATGAGATTTCTGTTCTCTTTCCTCTTATCAATAGATGAAATAATGTTATTGAAAAATAATGGTAGGAAATATTTTACAATTTGCCTTCCTGTAGCATGTTTCAATTTTCAGAATTGATTCAACACAGCTTGTTATGTGTGGGGTTCTTTGGGGTGGGGCTGTTTGGAAAATTAAGTCTGTTCTGCTATTGCTGAACTATTAACAATTAACATCTGGTTCAACTTTATGAAACCTGTAATACTTCAGCATCTGAATAGCTATTGAGCTCCTATTCTTGAGGAAGAAAGTAAATAAATGTTTATATTATTCTTAAATATAGATTATATAAGTAATCACTTTCCAAATTAATGACATAGGAAATTGAATCATCAAGCATGAAGAAACCATTTATGCAGTGATTATAATAAATTTCCATTTCCAAGTACTATGTAATCCATATTACAGCTTTTTAAATAAGGTTTCTTTAAGGCATGATATGGAACCTTTTTTCTGATAAAAAACATTCCCTGAGGCATAATCCAAAACCAAGAGGGGATGTCACCACTGTTCTCTCCCTGGTTTCCTCTCTTCCAAGCAACAGGTTGCAGATCAGATAACTTGGACCTTATTAGCAGTCTGAATTGATCTATTACATAGAGATATTAGGATGTAGGTAATTTTAAAGATAAATGAAAAGGCATTTTCCCAAAAGGTTTATTTTGCTATTATATTTCATATATACCTAGCAACTTTTCAAATAACAAATTTATAATTTGCTTTTGCAAATTTATGCTCAAAAACAAATTCCTAGACAAACTTGTGATTTTAAAATTTTAATTAATTTAAAGATTAATTAATTTTCTTTACACAGGTGCTTCTGTATTTTGTGTGGCTCCTAATGCACTTTTTCCATTTGAAGTCAATTCTGAGAACTCCCTGAATCAAAGGGATATTTACTTGACGGAATGCTACCAACAATTGAAACAGTTCATTGCTACATATGGGCCTGTGACACACGTTTTCAGCAGTGAGATTTAACAATACACAATACTGAATCAAATTCTCAGGAAAATTAATTCATTCATCTAACCTACCATTGCCCTTACAAGCTATGTTATAGAATACATTAATGCTGTAATGACTCAATGCTGTAATGCAGGGGGGGTCAAACTTGATTTCATTGAGGGCTGCATCAGGGTTGTGTTTGACCACAGGGGGCTAGGGTGGGTGTGGCCAGCTCAATATAACTCGTGTCAGGATCGTCTGTGGTGGCCCAAGCACTTTGCCAGAGAAAACAGGCTCTCCTCCTGCAACCTTCTGCCAGCATGCAGCCCTCCCGAAAAGTGATTTCAGGATGCAGGCCAGATCTAAGCACACCGCAGGGCAGATGCGGCCCCTGGGCCTTGAGTTTGACACCCCTGATATGTTTCAAATCTAATCTTTTTTTAAAAAAAGGTTGCATTTCAGCTAAAGCTAAAATTATATTCTTGCCGTACAGTAGTAGCTTTTTCCCTATATTCTTATTTTGAATGTTATAGCAAGCATAGGAAAATAGGTACATTTGTTTTAGTTGTCTCATCAAATTTTCTGTTACTGAAATTGTATTCAAATTCTTCATATAGGATTTTACTCTCACTCCCAAAAATCAGAATCACATTCTAAAATATAAAACAAGAAATGAAATTTAATGGAATTCAAAAATATACAGGCTGGTATCTCCCACATAGTATAAATAAATGACAGTTCATTAGTAAAGACTTCAATTTGATTCAGTGCTCACTAAGGCTTACAATAACATTAAAAACAAAGATATACATATACAAAAGTCAACCATGGTTGTGAGATTGAATTTTACAAAGATATAGGAAAACAGTCTATATAACCATGTTATCTATTATGGCAAGTCTGCTTTCCTCGCCCAATCTTCATGCAGAAACAAGAAAACAAGCTAACTGAAAAAAAGTTATTTCCCAGAAATCTGAGAAAAAAATATGATGAAAAATATCCTTAGGAAAATGCTGAAGAGTTAATTGTCCTATATATGTTTTTAATTTAGAATTACATCAACATCAAACTAAAGTATTTGTTTAAAATTAATTTCATATTGGAAAACGCTCACTCTTCCATTTGTCTTGTTATATCCTGCAAAGAAATAGGGAGATTAGTATATCACATTGAATAGCAGCATATAAAACAGCAGCAAATGTTATATTAAGATAATACATTAAGTAAAAATGGTTCATTAAAAGTTGTCGTTTTTATTTTCAAATTAGATAAAACTATTTTCAAATTAGCAAACCTTTAGAATTTTCAGTAAAATAATAAATGACATTAAACTAAAATTAAAATAAAAAAACATATTTAAGTTAAATTTTGTAATAAAAATATTTTGAATACATAATTTTGATCATTTTGATGACCATCATTTAACATTCAAGAATAACTTTAGTCATCTAAATAGTTCATTCAATTTAACTTTTAATCAGATTTGCATTTTTTACAAAAATTCTTAAATTCATGTGGAATTTTCAATCATTTCAAATTGATAAGTAGTTTTTAAATATAGAATTCTCAAATTCTGAACAGCAGTTCAGGACTACTTGGAGAAATATGCCAATTAAATCACTTTGGAAAGACATTTTAATATACAGTATTTAAATATGCTAAGCAAATACTTTACATGGTATAATTAAAGCTTTACTGGCACCTCAGAATTGCAAATACACATCACACATTCAGATGGGTAAACGGCTAAAGGAAATCATCATTGTGCCGGTGATAAAATATTTATCCCATTAATAAAAACATGTATTAAAATATTTTCCATTTTAGTACCTATTTGCAAATATTTTTATTTATTTCAAAAGGAAAAAAAATAAAAAACAAGCATTCATGTAAGAAATATGTATTCAACTTTCCAAATGCATTTATTAATCCAAATCACAATTCTTACTCTCTTTATATAGTAAGAGCAATACTCACCATTTAATATGGGATCCTGTGGGGTTTACTGATTGCTCCAAAACAAAACAAAAAAGGAAAGAAATCAAACAGTTGGCAATATTTAAGTGCAATACCATTTTTATTAAATAAAATGGAAGCATTTAGGATTTTTAAAATTTTGCATTTATGAACAAAATATGAATAAAAGTATTTTATTCCTTATAATTGCTTGATATGCAAGTATGTAGGAGATCTCATTCTATACTATTCTTAAAAAACAAAAACAAAGCATAGCTAAAACACTGGATCTCATTGAATGTACTTTTAACCCCCCCCCCACAACAGAATACATTAATAACATTACTCTCTAAATTTACTATTCCTATTGCCATTTCATAAGGGAATTAATCTGTACCCATGGTATCAACTACTATTACCACTGAAATAAAATAGATAATTGTACTTCCTATGCACATAAGCTTTGATACAACTGGACAGTATTATATTTTATTCATAAGTACAAAAAGTATAAAGGTTGAATAGTTACAAAGAGAAACCTAGAATGGTAAATGTGTAAAATATGTTTAAGATATCAGTATGATAAGAAAAGAAATAAAGGGACTAGTCAATGGACAGGAATATATGATTTGATGAAGCACCTACAGCTAGTGTCTCTGAAATAGTAATGAGCTGGCTGCACTGTACATGGAACTTACTACAACTGGGCAACAACACCTGAATGCCCCATGTCTTAAAACATCCAAAATGCCCAAAGAAATGCTGGCAAATGAAATATCTCAGTTGCAAAGATAATAAAATAACTTGCAGTATGTTGAAGTAGTTATAACATTCTGAAAAGGCCTTTATTCTACAATGGACTGATTTGGGCTGTTGCTGTTCCAAAACTTATGGGAAAACTACGGGAAGAATTAATCCAGAGTCAAACTATTTTATTCATGCACTACTCTAATTAATGAATCTTCTTATAGTTTATTCTTGTTTAATAAGAAAGAAATTAAGATTAAGGATTACAATTTCCATGCTTTGTGACCAGCTATTTTAACAGAATAAAACATATTCCCTATAGACTTGGTTCAGGCCGAGAGCTAAGTGCACCCCCCCAAAAAAACCCATTGAAGTCTCAATGAAACGGTATTCCTAGGGTATTCCTAGGCCGTTACAGAGTGAAGAGGGCAGAGGTCAGGGCTCAAAGATGACTCTCTAGCTAATCCCTGCACTGACAAAGAAGCAATTAATCATTAGAACAGGGACATCTTAGCTGATGTTACTGATTTATGAAGACATCAACTGCAATAATGATCACTACTTGCACAATTCATCATTATTCAGACAGCTTGGCAGAGTGGAAATAACTCAAAATAATCAATACTAGAAGTATATTTTCCCTACAGTTTCTTGAAAACCTTAATTAAAAGCCACCAAATTCTAGAAAATACACACAAATGGAACCAGGAATTAGAAATTTTATACACAACTAAAAGACAGATGTATTAAAATACTTATTACACATACATATGCTTCAAAAAATGAAATTTATTGCCTGCTCCAAGGGTTGTAAAACTTTAATGTATTTTATGTCCAACCAAAAAACCCTGGGTCCTATGTATTATAATGGGCACTTTGTTGAAAAGGACTTTTTATTCTTGTAGGCATTTTAATATGTTGATCATATATTATGAATTTTATGAAACTCTGCTGTACTTTATAATACATCACACAATACTTCATGCACACCTTATTTTTTGTTTTGGGGAAATTGAAAGTAATATTGGAAATGTTTTGTTTTCTGCCTGCAAATCAGCAAAAAGCATTATTGCCCAAATTTTTAAAAAAATTAGAAAGCTCAACATGAACACAACACATTAAACTTCAAGTAAGGGTAGTCCTCATTTAGTGATCACAATTAAGACTAACTTGGTCTTTAAGGAAAGCTGTCACTAAACAAAACAGTGATTGCTTATATTTCTACTTACTACTTTGTTTTACAGACCTGCAAAGGTTGTAAACATAAGGATGTGAGTTCCATTGTAACAAGTTACAATGGAACTATGAATGATCCCCATCTATATAGTATGATAGACAGATAAAAAGACTCTTGAGAATACCAAGGACACCCAAGAAAATAATCTGATACATCATTGAGCAAATCAACCCACAGTTCTCACTCAAGGCACAAATGACCAAGCTCAAATTATCTTTCTGCAGAAATATTATGAGAAGACCTAGCAGAAGAGGACAACCAGCAGCAAGATGCATAAGTCTTACAATGGCAATGCATGCACCATTGGCAGATTCGAAAAAACAAGTTAGAGGCAGATTGTCATAGAGAAAATCTATGTGGTCAGTAGTAGTTGAAAATAACTTGATGGCACATAATCAACTTCATAGCATGATAGCAGCTCTTGGTCAAGAAACATGGACAAAATAAATTCCTAGGAAGAACTAAATAAGCTGAATATGATTTTAAAAGAGGATAGCAACAAGGAGTGCTACAACTATTTTAAGCTTCTAAAAGGGAAGCTCTATTTTATAGTCTTTCCCTGCACTAAGCAGATGGAAAACAATGGTCACAGGCTGTCTTGAAATCAGTCAACTTTAAAGCTACCACCAAACTTGTTTCCTAGTGAATGTTTATTTCAATAATAATTAAAATGTATTTTCTGCTTCTTAATTATCAATAGTGGTGCAGCTGTTTGTGTTGTCATCGCAAGATTCTTTCTTGCATTACTTATGTAAATCTTTCAATGGAGATGATTCACCACAGAAATGCAACATGCAGAAAGCCTGGAAAGCATTCTTATACAATAAACCTGAAAGATATAGCAGCTTTAACAATTTCAAAAACTCTCCTATGAAAATATTCCTGTGAATTCCAAATCAATTCTTCTGAAGAATCTGCAAATTCTTTCTAGTTTTTATTACTTTTAGTTTGGAGAAACCAAGTTATGCACTAGAAGTAATTATAAGGAGTGTAAGAAGTATGCCTAAAATAGCATTTAAAAAAAATATGAGTATCTTGTTTGCACAGCTACATTTCAAAATATTCTTTTGTCTAATGAAATGCTTTCAAGTTACTATGTTTCATAACTTAGCACAACTAGAAAGTTGTTTTATTGCTTCACACTCATAGTGTGAGTTTCAGGTTTAGTTTTATAGTTTTTTAAAAAAATATTGTGTGGCATTCCAAATTTAATTCTGTATTTTTTCAGTAGCTTCTCATTTGACATAATAGCACAACCAAGAATTCGGTTACCATTTGTATTATGCA